TTGAATAATTTTATACTCTGGACTTTATTGCTCATTTCTGCTTTGAACATTTTAATTATATTATTTTTCTTTTTAAAAAGTTTCTCTCTTTCTCCAAAAAACACATTCTGTCTTAGCTTGCCTTGCTGTGTGATATATTTTATATAAGGGAAGCATTCCTACTCTGCTGTGAAATATGCAGTCAGTTTTTCCATTGCTGCATATTCCTCATTTGTAGTCCCCAAAACGTCTATTGGTAGCATGTCTCTTAATAAATTGTAGTACCTTTCTTTCATTTATGTTCTCTGGGACGATACCTAACAAAAATATTTGTAGTCTTAATAAAAATTTTATTTTTATAATATTATGATATAGTTTTTTATTTGTCCTGTCTCCGTACCATATTTCATTAGCAATCTGTAAATATGTCCTAATAAATGATCTTTATTCTGTATAACTATTTCAAATTCTGTCATTTTTCTCAGGGTCCCTCCTTCTCTAAGGTTGTTTTTTCTTATTTTTACATTTTGTTCTTGATGCCCCCCTGCTCCTGATGATTTGGTCTTTGTACACCAAAGAGCAGAGTTTTTTCACACGTTTGTCATGAAACTAAAGTGGGAAATAGTCCAAAGGCAGAACCCTAAGTAAAATGAAAGTTTGGTTTCTTCTAAGCAAAGAAAAAGGAAACCAGCAAAATCTTCAATATGCAGGAATAACATCTGCAGCATCAACTTTTTTTCCTTTCTTTTTTCTTCAAATCAGCTTATGGAGAGGAACATGAAAATCACAAGGAGTGCAGCGTAGCAGTATTCCAGATGATCAAGTCTGAAGAACAAAGGAGTAAGAAAAGCTGCATAAGGAATGGAGTGAAGAAATCTTCTCCTGGATACAGTGATGTTCCTGACCTCCCAACACAGCAAGTTCACCAAGAAGAAGAGGGAAAGTATCTCGCATGTAGCAAAAGAGACAAAGAGAAATCTGATTTCACTAAACATTGTACAACCCAGACTGAAGAGGAACAGGATG